GGGACAGTCACCGCAGGCAACAACTATCTCTGCGGCCCACATGTATGGGCATGAAACAAGCCGAGGAAGAATTTGATGCAATTAACGCAGACGGGAGCGAAACAAGCCCTGGTGACACGGCGACAGATGCAGCACTGTGAGTGGTCAAAGGGGGAGGACGGCTATGAGAACACAAGTGGCTCAATCGGTACTTGGAGGCTAGGCGCGGGGAAAAACATTGCATATAATGAGGTCTGTGAGCCGGAGTATTCAGACTCTGAAGGTTTTCGGACGACGCACCCACCCAAAACGTCAGAACACCCTTTCCTTCTTTGATTTACCACCTGGAAACCACATTTTTACTGCTCTTAATATACATATTTATAAAATAGTCACATCTGCACATGCAGACTATCTCTGAATTGCCTGCTTGGAGTAAATTAAATAGTGCATCACTATTTTGTGTTGTGCGGGAGCCACAAAGGATAGAAAGAAACATTTGAGTTATTTCTCCCCCAAACGAGTGCCACATTATAGACGAAATATAACGCTTTCTGAAAAAAATCTCGTTTAGCGGATTTACCTGAGTGACTCGCTTACTGAGACATGCAGTGTGCGCAATGCGCTCCAGCTCCTGTCCGTCAGGATTGGCTTCTTTCTCAAAACTGGCCTGCAGAATGGCCAACTGTTGGGGCGTAAAACTTGTGCGGATGCGTTTTGATCTTGAACTGTTGGGTTCCATTGGCGTAAGAGAGCATGTATCGATAGACTGCGGGTGATCGGTAGACTCAAAGTCATAGTCGACGAGGTTACTGGCGGAAAAGTTCTCCTCTTTTTCAAAAACGTGGCAAGGTAACAGATCTCCCGTCGTCGGGCTCCGATGCAGCGCATTCTTTTCGCCAGTAGTCACTAAAATATGGATAATTATTGGTGAGGCTTAATGCAGATCAGTGTATTTTGATGACTTTTAACAGAAAAAACTCTAAACTCCCTTACCGAAGGTTGGCATAACATTTGTTAACCCAACAACTTTGAATTTTCATTTATGAAAGAGTCAAAGTAATCGTTCTGTACTCGGTTCTTTGAGTTGATGAACAGCATGTCGGATGATGTCAGTCTCTTTAGTTGTCTTAGGTGCGAGTTAAATGTTTTACAAGTCTTTCAATAATGTTGAATTTCCTATATGATGTTATACTGTTTTTAGTTTAGAGTATGATTTGTAACAACCTACGCAACGTACATTGCCAAATGCTGACTTTCAAACTGCCGATAAAACTAGATGTTTATCGCTTTTAAACCATCACTACTTCCCCATAGAATTTAATATACGGTTTTAATTTATATTTAACGCTGAAAGCCCCAAAATATAATATTTGCAATCCTTGCATAGTTCGAATTTTAACCTACAATTTCAATTATTTTGGGCTTTAATGTGTATTCTACACTCCGCTTGTTCGAACAAAATTACTGAAACTGTGGGACTTCTTATAAAGAAACTTCCTAAAGTTCACGACCGATTCGTTTGTAGCTGGATAATACTTCAGTTGTCAGAAATAAAACCTGATCCGTAAATATTCTTCTTATGGGAAGTAAATGTACACGACCTAAGAATTCTTATCCTTATCAATTAGTTTTTTACTCAAAATTTACATATCAAAGATGGTTTAATCCCCCAAAATTGATACAGCTCTGCCTATTTCTAAGCAGCCTTATTGCCTTCAACTTCTTATTAAAACCCAATAAAACCACCCCATACATTTGAAAATATTGACTTGGACAAGTTCGATTACCTAAACAGCGCTATCTCCACTAACACCAAAAAAGACGAAGAAGTGGCTCACCGGACTGCAAAGCCAGTCGGGACTTCGGGTGACTGCAAGCCTCCATCTGGAATCGCCAGAGACTTCGAAGTGACACGAAACGCAAGTGTACTGGTCGGTTCTCATGCTAACAGTAATCCGCATAGTGGAGACATGGACTGTCTAGCCACTCAAACCAAGAGACTTATCCATTGAGCTGAAGTAGACGCGATGGCTGTATATACTGAACCGCTCAGTGCATGAAATAACCATTTATTTTACTGTATTTGACGAGTAGGATCCATAAGGTTAGGCGAATAAAGTTCAAATGCCAGCAATCGCATTTATTTCTTCCCAGTTAATTCTTGGTACTCATGTTTTCACTTGTGTGGACAAACTAAATAACGTTCATCTAATCTGCGTTCGGAGACTATTTAAACGGACGCTGCATGACTGGATTTCATGCATGGAAGTCCCGGCTCGTACCGTTTCTCGTAATATCCATAACAGGATAATGCAACTGTAACTATGCTATGAAGCCATTTTGTGCTGCTGGACGATAAGCTTTTACTCAAGCCACTCCTAAAAGGTGATGTCATCACGGGTACTCGATTACGAGAGGGCAAACCTAAAAATAAATTTGCTGACTTGGGAGGCCACCGACCAGGATCAAATGGCCTTGTGGATAGCATTTTAGACTAGAATAGCAATTTACGAGGCCAAACTATCCCCCACTACCAAAATTTGTCAAACGACTCCTAAATCTCAGACGCCAGCAACTCACACCGCCTATGTTATGCCTTTACCATCATGTGTACCCTGTACCCCAACAGAATGCTCAAGGATCGGCCTTGTCGGATATTTCTGGATCCAAATAGTAACACATATATAACGCTACCTATTGCCTTCACAAACTTCTACACAAATACCCATGCCATCTACAACGGCGACCTCCAGTGCCGGTGGACAAACTCCCGAGGCCCCACCGCCGCCGCATTCCACTACATTCATCCGCGCTGTCACAATCCCTGCAACGACTAATGCCACCGTTGCCGCTTCCAACACCAGTGAGGATACTTTTGACCTGCTGAAACCTACCAAATTCAACAATAAAGATTTGATCGCAAATGCTCCTTAGCGCGATCGCGCATTCACAGCACGCATAGGCTTCGTCGGTCACTCGGTAATCCACCACAATGAAATCAACGACCCAGTGTCAGGAACACCAGCATTTGTCCGTCGCATTCTTTTGAGTTGACCGCAGTATCTCGTCACCGCACGTGTCTGCTTGGCCACACCATAGGAGATAAAGTACAGTCATGATACACCTCACAAACCCATCTCACTGCATCCTCCACAGATATGGAATTTGGGCCTCCCATGTATGTGGGGAGTGTGCTCCTTGACTCCTTCTCCGTGTGGACAAAGTTACATTCTGCAGCAAGTGAACTGCGTTGGACCCATCCACTTTCAGTGAAAATTTGGTATATTGTGGGGTCAGGTTTTGTGTGGAAAACACAGATGACCGAACTCAGCTCTGCCATCTACATTTACCCAATCTCAAAACCTACAAATGATTGGTTCAGATAGTGATTAATATTTAAGAGAGGTGGGACAGATTGTGATTGATACTGGGGAATCTGACAATATGGCATTCAGTGCACATTTTGCAGAATAAACAAGCTGACGCGATTAAAATCTAGTACAGTGTGTTAAAAACGTGGCTGCCACTTGGTGCGATAACTTGGCTCTCCTCCTAGGACTGGTAGTCAGGCAGCAATCCGAATCGTTTTTCTACAGTTTATGTGAAACGCGGGTCTTTTGTGCATGAACCGGTCACATGAACATGTATATATATATGCATATGAGAAGG